CGCGCTAAATACTAGGGATGTGTAGGTTGACTTTTGACAAATTGGAAATAAATGGAGTTGTTGACATATCGAATAATCGATTATTTTGTTGTCGCCGTTTATTGCTTTCGGAAAATTCGAAATCAATTTTTTATACAATAAATCATTTTTTATATCAATATATCGATCCACGTTTTGGTTTGCATTTTGACAGTAAACTTGAGAGGTATCGATAATCAGCTGGTCTCCCTTGGTGACCTTATTTATAGGCCATGCTTCCAAGAAACTACTATTTATCGAAATAATTTTCGATATTTCCTTTATTATGGTCTGTTCCCGTACTGCAAGAATCTACTAGATTTTACTATTTTTTCGATATCATAAAGGAAAATTCGTTATCGTAGTAAAAATTAGTACATTCTTGCAGTACGGGAACAGACCATTAGTGTCATTCCATGGTATAATAATAGAAGGTAACAGCAAGTGTTGTTGTACAACAAAAGATACAACAACCACATGGAAATTTGCTTTTGTAAGTTTTACTAGTGTCAACGTCATTTGACAGAAAAATGTAACCAAACAAATAAATTATATTTATTTTGAAAATAAAATATTTTTGAATCCTCAAGATAAAATTTGAAAAACATGAATGAAAATCTATTAAATTTATATTTCTATCGCTTCCACATCTTTCCTATAATTGAGCTATTGCGAGTTATTCAATGAAGAAAGTTTTGCTTCCTCAAACTTTCCCAACAGGCAGATTGAGTAAAATGAATACGGGAGGACATTTAATAAAGAACAATTTCGAATTGTATGCGTTCCCAATTTTCCTGTTGGGTGATTTTTAAAACATAATTTGTCAAATTCGTATTGACACTAGTATTACGTTGGAATCAAATCAGATGGGACTTGCTGTTACCTTTTATAATTGTACCATGGTGTCATTCCTTAGTTCAAGGTCTATTAATAAGGTCATCAGGTAGCAATCGAAATCGAAAAACAGCTGTTTTCTCAAGTCTAATGACAAAAATTTGGACATTGTTACAATAATGAACTGGAGTGGCAGCTGATATACAGTTGGTCTCTCTGGATGACTTTATTTATGGGCCTTGCTTGGCCTGTTTCAGAACCTGCAAGAATGTATTTTTTTTAAATGATAACTTGTTAGTCTTGCTTGCAGTTAGTCTTGGGTAATCTCGTTCAGTTCAGTCATCGAACGAACTACATCATTTTTTGAATGTGAACTAGGTCGTTCGCCTCTTTCAGTTGCTTATATCTTTCAAATGATTACTCAATTGTCATGGCAGCACATACCAATTAAGTTCTGGTAGTTTAACCTACCGTAAAAATGATGATCTTTCTCAATCATTCGAAGGAATTTCCTATCTATTTTCTCCATATTTTAATGGCTGGTTGGTCGATGGAACAACTCCGTTATGTTCGGCTGCAAACTTGAATTTGTTGCTCCGGACAAATCAGTGGATTCATTGAGCAAAGTCCTTCAGAGACCGACTGTGTTTGGTGAACAAACCCGATAAGTGAACGACAATAATAATAACTGAAATATGTGGGGTTCACTTGTTCAGTGGACTGACTCGTTCAATTGAACTTAGTCGTTCATGAACGACACAAGACTACTTGCAGTACTCAAACAGACCACCTGTTTTCATGTTCCTATTTTTGGTCTGAATCTACTACTTTTTACTACGATAACGAACTTTCCTTTATGATATCGAAGAATATAGTAAAATCTAGTAAATTCTTGCAGTACGGGAATGGACCATTTGTGTTTTGCTCATGCGTAGATTTTGGTGTCGAGGTTTTTTATTGCAATGTCCGAAGACATTTAATTTGGACAGGAATGTAAGCCTCTTTTTAGAATGATCCATCGATTTGTAGTCTCGAACTTTATCAACTGCACATCGCCACCCTATAATATGAATTATGGCAATTATAAAACGGTAATAACGATTTTGCCATTTTAAGGATTACGGATAAATTTTCAATCCGATTTGGGTGCACGGCCGGGTACTTTGAAGATTATAACAGGTTTCGCAATCGAATAGCTGTATTTTGAAATTTTTGATCTGTTCCAGAACCTGAAAAAATTATATTAAATCGAATTTCCCTTTATATTATTCCCAAGAAAGTGATGTATATCGGTACACGATCTAAATTGTTATATTTAGGAGTCTGGGTGTGTTAAAATATATTTCCATTCCCCATTTTTGGACCATATTTAGAAAGTGGCAGTCGTACTTTTCAACTGAAGTGTGGAGAGTTAATGACATTTTCCAGTATAGGTCCATTCTTTGACATAATCCCCATATACCGGTCCGCCATATTGTAGGTAAATGCATTTTATTGTAATTTGCCTTTTCTATTTGCAGAAAATGATTACTATAGTCCCATATTTGACATGGTCCCGCTAATTTCTTTGTGTGTATTTTGATGATTCTTATTTTCCAAGCCAAATATATGCCATATTCGCAGTTATAGCCGCCGAACATGTATGTTGATGGTCCTAGGCAGGCATTGAAAAAAGGAGAATTAAAAGAAGTTCGGTCCGGTCGAACTTATTTACCTTTTCCAATGTTTAATATCAATGTTTGTCCCAATTTAGATTAGGCGAGTTTACTTGCGGCAAGTGTTTATTTGCAGGAGAGAGGAGCAAGGGGAATAGAAATTGAAAAAAAAACTGTTCGTACCGGCAATTTTTTGCCAATTCGTTTTGTGTATTTTGTTTGTAGTGTAAGTAATTTGAAATACCAATCCAGTAATTTGAAATACCAATCCATAACGCATGAAGCAAGTTCAAAAGAAAACGATAAGAATTGCCGCAAGTAAACTCGCCTAATCTAAAATAGGACTTTTTACTTGGAATACACCGTAATTACACAATGAGTTTTTTGGAGAGTGTCGATTACTATTGTACTGTACAAACAATATTTTTGATTTTATTTTTCCCACACAACATTCATAGCACGTTACGTCTTCCACTAATTATACTCGACCCAACACTGAGGCATGCACACGGCAAGTATCCTTGTGTGTGTGTGTCAACAATGCGATTCTCATGCAGTCTCCATCCCACCACATTCGTAAATATTTCGTTAACCTTCTTTGTGTTTTTCTTTATCACCCGATTTATCTTCTCTCCCATTCGTTAGCAAGTGGAACGTTTTTCAATTTTTTCTGTGTATACATTGAAAATCGTACATTTTGCAAATAGTATTTTAAAAAGAAAAAAAAAAATGGATTTAGAAACAATAGAACGTTTTCAAAACGATTTAGATGATTTGAATGCATTTCAATCATTTCTCAATATGGATCAAATAATACGTCGCATACATTGCAATAAACAATTGGCGAAATTTTGTGCACCGCTACGTACAAAGCCGAAACGACGGAAACGTCGTTTTAATCCTTTGATCGATTTAAGGGAAAAGGAATTCCAATATAGTTATCGTTTCACCAAGGATAGTATGAAACGTTTAATTGATATGCTGAAGGATGATTTGGAAGTTGAACAGCAACAGAATTCGAACGGCAAGGTGGATACCCTAAATCCGGCAAAGTGTCAAGTACCGGTGGAGAAACAAATAATGGCAGCTGTTCGTTATTGGGGAAGGACTGAGGTAACAAATCTTCATTATCAAGAAGGTGTTCTGTTTATTGAAAATCAATCGACAGGAAATCCTTAAAAATATTAAAGAAGAGATTCACAAGGACATCTAATTTTTTGAAAAGCTTCAAAAGGATCGAATATATTCTGAAGGGGTTCAGAGTATATAAAAGCTTTAAACGAATTCTAATGTATACAATACATTCATAAGGTCTATCTTTTCCTTTTTATATAAGAGATTCCCATTATTTTAGAACAATGTCCTCTGTTTTACAGAAGAGCTTCAGAAGGTCTTCTATTTTATAGAAGAGCTTCAGAAGGTTTTCTATTTTATAGAAGAGCTTCAGAAGGTCTTTTATTTTATAGAAAGCTTCAGAAGGTCTTTTATTTTTTTCAGAAGAGCTTCAGAATGTCTTCTACAAAATAGAAGAGCTTCAGAAGGTCTTCTATTTTATAGAAAAGCTTCAGAAATTCTTCTATTTTATAGAAGAGCTTCAAAAGTCTTATATTTTGTAGAAGAGCTTCGGAAGGTCTTCTGTTTTATAGAAGAGCTTCAGAAGGTCTTCTAATTCATAGAAGAGCTTTAGAAGGTCTTCTATTTTATAGGGGAGCTTCAAGGGGTTTTCTACTTTATAAAAGAGCGCAGTAGGTATTATATTTTATTGAAAGCTTTTCTATTAAAAAAATATTAGAAGGTCTTCTATTTTATGGAAGAGCCTAGAAGGTCATCTATTTTATAGAAGAGCTTCAGAAGGATTCCATTTTCTAGAGAGCTTCAGATGACCTTTCATGTTCTATTTTATGGAAGAGCTTTAGGACGTCTTCTATTTTATAGAAAGCTTCAGAACGCTCTTTTATTTTATATAGAAATAGGAGGAATCTGCTCTTTAGAAGAGTTTTCGAATAATTTCTATTCTACAAAAACTTCAGAAGGGTTTTTAATGTGTAGAAGAGCTTCAGAATATCTTCCATTCTGTATAAAACCTTCTATAGAAGAGCTTTAATAAGTCTCCCGTCTATTGAAGATCTTCATAAGCCATTCTATTAAAAGAAGAGCTTTATAAGACCTATCATGCAGATAACTTCCTGAAGCTTAACTTTCTGAAGGTCTTATATATGCATATAGAACCCAAAATTGAATCGTATTTTCCTCTTTTTTCAGCATCCCGAAATAACCGCACAAACACATGGAGTTACGCTTAAAACTCTCATGAAAATAAGCAAACGTGTTGCCGAAGCTTTATCGTATAATGCATCTCGATATATTCGTATGCCATGTTTACTAGCCGAAAAGGAGAAGGTTACAAAAGGTTTCTACGATATAGCTCGTATGCCTCAGGTGATCGGTGCTGTTAATCATACACAAATGAAATGTAAACGACAGAAGACTTCAATGGGAAATAATACAGTAGAACAGAATAATACCGTGGAACACATACTGCATATACAGATTGTAACAGATGCCAGTTTAAAAATACGTGATTTAGATTGTCATTTGACCAAGGCATGCGACGTGAAAACTCCAGTTGATATATTTACCCAGAGCAGGATTAAAGAACGTTTTGAACAAAACGAATTTCGTGGACGTTTGCTGTTAGGCGACTCTGATTTGAAATGCTCATCATATCTTTATACACCGGTCCTCTATGGCATAACATTGGCCGAACAGGCCTTTAATAGTTCATTACGTTTAACATATGAACCGGCAAGAAAATCGTTGAAATTATTACAACATCGTTTTGGTATTTTAAATGATGAATTTCATGGTTCACACACAACTGCCCGGCATATTGTTATCGCTTTGGTATTGCTGCATAATATGGCATTGGAATGGAAAGATTCATCGATAGGTTGGTATTTATAGTTTTAGATATATAAATATATGTTTATAATAAATATGTTTAAACATTCATCATCTCTTTAGATCCCGGTAGTTTGAAGGATTATGAAAATCATCACTATGAGATACTAACAAATACTGAAGAACGCAGCCGTGCTGAATTTATTAAAAATCATTTTTATACATCTCAGAATTAGATATTTATTTTTAGCATAAGTAGTAGTATTTACAATAAAAATAAAATACTGGTGTGGATCAAAATGTTATCTTGTTTGTTTTAGGATTGATCATATAGGTCTTCTATAGTTCAAATGAAATAGAAAAGTTTCATAAGGTTTTCTGTCTATAGAATCATTTCAGGAGGTAATATGGGCGTAGAATAGCCTAATTGTATATTTAATATATAGAAGAACATCAGAGGGTATTCAATTTATAGAAGCGCTCGCGCACACATCTTTCAAATGACCATTCATGTATACCAAGGTAATTGAGTTGACCCTTTTAATCAATGTATGGCATCGAATTAAGTAGTACGGTGGCAGCAGATAACGGCAAGGAGCAAACAATCTTACGCAAAGGATGAGTTCTGCTAATTTTAAGAAAGAATTCCACAAGGATCTGAAAGACTTATTTAATAACCAGTAAGGAAAGTTCCAAAGTCGGACGAGGCCGGCTATATGATACCCTTCACCACTTTTGATACATACAAGAGATCCTAATATAGAACAGACATATGATCTTTTGGATGACTGTTGGAATGGAATCGTTCGGTGAACAAATAATGTGTGTTTGGTGCACCATTCAAATAAAATTGGGTAAAATCGAAAATATATATTGGGAGCTATATCTAAAACTCAACCGATGCAGACATCAATCTGGACATTTACCAAAAATGTGACGAAACTATAGACTTAATTCAGTAAGCTAAGCCAACTTTCGTGCAAATCGAATGATATATATGGACTTTGGTGTACCATTTATCTAAAATCGTACGAAAATATATATTGAAGCTATATATAAATCTGAACCGATTTTCACGAAACTTAACATTCATTATTATAGGCTTAATTCAGTACGCTATGCCAAATTTCCTGCAAATCGAAAGATATATAGGTAATTTGGTACTCCATTTACATTAAATCGTACGAATATATATATGGGAGCTATATCTGTATCTGAACCAATTTTCACGAAACTTAACACTCATCGTTTTAAACTTAATTCAGTACGCTATGCCAAATTCCGTGCAAATCGAAAGTTATATAGGGACTTTGGTGCAATATTTCTCTAAAATCGGACGAAAATACATATGGGAGCTATATCTAAATCTGAACCGATTTTCAAGAAATTCGACACACATCGTTCTAGACTTAATACGCTATACCGAATTTCATGGAAACTTCAACAGTAATCTAATTTCCAAATTTAAGGAAAAAAAACTACCTTAATTCAGTTTTCAAATGTTAATCGTAAGTCCAAATTTAAGAATTTCACCTCTAACTGTAAAACGAAATCCAAATTGTACCAGATTTGGTACTATTCTGTATTTCGTACGGATATTCAAAACTATCTCAATCTTACACTCCGAAAGCAAACTTAGTTGCAGCTTGTAGGATTCCAGATCTACACGTTCACCAAAGTTAAAAATTTAGTACTTTTCGTACTAATAAGTATGATTTTCCAAAACTAACTCATTCAATAATCTATCTTTTTTCCAACATCCAAATTTAATATAATTTATTACTTTACGTAGACAAAAGTTCCATTTTCCAAAACTTGCTCAATTCTACACTCCAACAGTCACATTAATCAAAAATTTTAGGATCCCAGCCCTATTCGTTCACATTGATCTAGATTGTACCATATTTAGTACCATTAAGTTCTTATAAGTTCGAATTTCCAATACTATATCATTCAATATAACTTTTATGATTCCTGCTCTGTCCATTCACATAAACCAAATACTATATTTAGTACTATTTAGTGATTTTCGTATCCTTAAGTACGACATTCCAATACTACCTTATTTTTTCTCTACTACCTCAATCATGTTCTCTAACAAAAGACTTAATTGAAATTTCAGGTTTCCATTTCTATCCGTTCAATTAAATCGAAATTGTACCAATCCCTATCTGTTCACTCAAAAAGAAATTATAAAATATTTGGTACCATTTGGTACTTTTTGTTCCCATAATTACGAATTTCCTAAACTACCTCAATCCTACACTTCAACAGTAATTTTAATTCCGTAATTCTGGAGTCCAGCCTATCCGTTTGCAGATAATCAAGTTGTACCAAATATAGTACCATATAGTACACATAAGTACTATACTTTCATATCTCAATTCTACTCTCCAACAGTGAACTACATTCAAAATTTCAGAATTCTAGCTCTTCCCGTTTGTCTAACCTCAATCCGGGGTCAATGACCGTTAACCCGTATTATGCCTTCATCCAAGGTCAATGACCTTTAATGCGGGGTCAAATTACCTTTAATCCGGATTAAACCTTAATCCGGGGTCAAGCGGGATTAAGCCTATAATCCGTGATCAATGACATTTTATGCGGGGTCAATGACCTTTAATCAGGATTAAGACTAATCGGGGTCAATGGCTCTTAATCCGGGGTCAATGACCCTTAATCCGGGGTCAATGACCTTTAATCCGGTGTCATTGACCTTTAATCCGGGGTCAATGACCCTTAATCCGGGGTCAGTATGTCTTAATCCGGCCTTAATGCGGGTTAATGTCTCTTAATCCGGATTAAGCCTTAAACCGGGGTCAATAACCATTAATACGGATTAAGCTTTAATCCGGGGTCAATGACCTTTAATCCGGGGTCATTGACCATTAATCCGGGGTCAATGACCATTAATTCGGATTAAGTCTTAATCCGGGGTTCAAGTCTCTTAATCCGGATTAAGTCTTAATCCGGGGTCAATGACCATTAATCCGGATTAAACCTTAATCCAGGGTCAATGACATTTAATGCGGGGTCATTGACCTTTAATCCGGGGTCAATGACCTTTAATCCGGATTAAGCCTAATCCGGGTCAATAGCCCTTAATCCTGATTAACCTTAATCCGGGGTCAATGACCTTTAATTCGGGGTCAATGGCCCTTAATCCGGGGTCAATGACCTTTAATTCGGGGTCAATGGCCCTTAATCCGGGGCCAATGACCTTTAATCCGGGGTCATTGACCTTTAATCCGGGATCAATGACCCTTAATCCGGGGTCAATGACCCTTAATCCGGCCTTAATGTGGGTTAATGTCTCTTAATCCGGATTAAGCCTTAATGCGGGATCAATAACCATTAATACGGGTTAAGCTTTAATCCGGGGTCAATGACATTTAATCCGGGGTCATTGACCTTTAATCCGGGGTCATTGACCTTTAATTCGGATTAAGTCTTAATCCGGGGTCAATGACCATTAATCAGGATTAAGACTAATCGGGGTCAATGGCCCTTAATCCGGGGTCAATGAGCTTTAATCCGGATTAAGCCTTAATCCGGGGTCAATGAGCTTTAATCCGGATTAAGCCTTAATACAGGGTCAATGACCCTTAATCCGGATTTAGCATTAAACCGTGGTCAATGACACTTAATCCGGGGTCAATGACATTCATCCAGGGTCAATGACCTTTAATCCGTGGTCGTTGACCTTTAATGCGGTTAATGTCTCTTAATCCGGGTTCAATGACCATTAATACGGATTAAGCTTTAATCCGGGGTCAATGACCTTTAATCCGGGGTCAATGACCCTTAATATGCGGTTAATGTCTCTTAATCCGGGTTCAATGACCATTAATACGGATTAAGCTTTAATCCGGGGTCAATGACCATTAATCCGAATTAAGCCTTATTCCGGGGTCAATGACGTACAATCCGGATTAAGCCTAATCCGGGGTCAATGGCCCTTAATCCGGATTAAGGTTTAATCCGGATTAATGGTCATTGACCCCGAATTAAGGGTCAATGACCCCGGATTAAGGCTTAATCCGGATTAAGGCCAATGACCTTTAATCCGGGGTCAATTGCCTTTAATCCGGATTAAACCTTAATCCGGTGTCAATCCGAATTAAGCCTTACTCCGGGGTCAATGACCTTTAATCCGTGGTCAATGACATTTAATGCGGGGTCATTGACCTTTAATCCGGGGTCAATGACCTTTAATCCGGATTAAGCCTAATCCGGGTCAATGGCCCTTAATCCTGATTAAACCTTAATCCGGGGTCAATGGCCCTTAATCCGGGGTTAATGACCTTTAATCCGGGGTCATTGACCTTTAATCCGGGGTCATTATCTCTAAATCCGGCCTTAATGCGGGTTAATGTCTCTTAATCCGGATTAAGCCTTAATCCGGGGTCAATAACCATAAATACGGATTAAGCTTTAGTCCGGGGTCAATGACCTTTAATCCGGGGTTATTGACCTTTAATCCGGGGTCAATGACGGATTAAGTCTTAATCCGGGGGTCAAGTCTCTTAATCCGGATTTAGTCTTAATCCGGGGTCAATGACCATTAATCCGGGGAATCCAGGGTCAATGACCTTTAATCCGGATTAAGCCTTAATCCGGGGTCAATGAGCTTTAATCCGGATTAAGCCTTAATGCAGGGTCAATGACCCTTAATCCGGATTAAGCCTTAAACCGTGGTCAATGACACTTAATCCGGGGTCGTTGACCTTTAATGCGGGGTCAATGACCCTTAATATGCGGTCAGTATCTTTTAATCCGGATTAAGCCTTAATACGGGGGTTAATGTCGCTTAATCCGGATTAAGCCTTAATCCGGGGTCAATGACCATTAATCCGGATTAAGCCTTAATCCGGGGGTCAAGTCTCTTAATCAGGATTAAGTCTTAATCCGGGGTCAATTACCGTTAATCCGGATTAAGCCTTAATCTGGGTTCAATGACGTTTAATCCGGATTAAGCCTAATCCGGGGTCAATGGCCCTTAATCCGGATTAAGCCTTAATCCGGGGTCATTGACCCTTAATCCGGGGTCAATAACCTTTAATCCGGGTAAATGACCTTTAATCCGGATTCAGCCTTAATCTGGACGAAATTTGGCATAGCGTAATGAAATAGGTCCAGAATGATGTGTGCTAAGTTTCGTGAAAATCGGTTCAGATTTAGATACAGCACCC